AGGGGAAGATGAAGGAGAATCTGCTAGCTTTTCAGAACTAATAAAAAATGGAAGAATTTCTCATGGAAAAAAATTCAGATCATCTCAAACTACTTACCATTTCTAAAGATAACATAGTTATAAAGCCACATATATCAAACGTGAATCTTCAAAACCTCTGCATCTGGCAAGGTATTTTAGGATTATACATACATAAATATTTTTTGGTAGAGGTGGGGGGAGAAAAGTCCCTTCCCCAGGGCTTCGAGATGTGTGGCAAGAGGCTTGGATTACACACAAATTACTCACCTTGTATAAGGCAAAGAGCCAAGGTCAGAAGCACGGGCACTGTGTCTATCTTCATGTCGAAGATGATGTAAGTCGGCTACAGGTCTGCTCCGTGCATTGCTCAGCTGGTGCTCCAAGTCTGAACTCTTGGAGATGTAGCTCTCTTGTATATATACTCGTGTCAGTACTGGTGACGACAATCATATAAAACCAGTTGTTCAAGGTCGTGCTAGACTTAATATACCACACCACTTTAGCTTCCATCCTTTAGGATCCTGTCAAGGTGGCAGATTTGAACAGATAATGTCTATTTCTAAAGTAGTAATGTGCTTTCATGATATCTCCCCCAGAAGGCAATAAATTAAGTCCAAGAATCCTACTCAAAGTTGAATACTCCATAATCCTATATAAGAACTGAATTCTCCAGCAACATCAAACATATCACCTCATAGACAAATACGTTTCTAACTGGACTCCCTTCATCAGTGGGAAAAAAGGGGAAAAGAAGGCAGATTGGTTATCCTACCAGTCAGGTGAAGATTTAAAGATTTCCATGTGGACAAACAGGCTTCCTGCTGCTTCCATTCGTAGATGTTCTGAACCAGTTTAGATAAGAGGAGGCAGAACCAGCACCCACAAGCCAGCCACAAGTTCAATATTATTTCCACTCCACATGCTGCTTCACCCTTACACATTAGTAAAGGCAGAAACTTTGTGAAAACAAAGCTTGTACATAACTACTCTTTAATATTCTTAATAGGAAAAATATTTTATATCCTAAAATCTGATCTTATATTCTAACCAAATATCATAATCATAAGCATTAGAAACTCAAAGTTTAACTTTCCATAGCCCATCACTACTCAAATTACTATATGAAAAATGTGGCTCAATCAGCCAGATGTGGAGACTCACTCCTGTAATCCTAGCGCTTTGGGAGGCTGAGGCAGGAGGATTGCTTGAGACAGGAGTTGGAGATCAGCCTGGGCAACATAGCAAGACCCAATCTCTACCAAAAAAAAAAAAAAAAAGAAAAATTTGACTCAGTTTTTGCTAAATTGAGTTTAATTCCTGAATTGCTGTATTATTTAGTCTCTCAAGAAGAAAAGAAGAAATAAGGTATTAAAAATTATAAATACATAAACATAACATTTTTTTCTAGAGAAAGTTTCTTCTCCTTAGTTTCCTCTTTCATCCTACAAGTAATACCTTTTTCTACCAATTTATTTTACTCTACCAGCTTAAGAAAGGACCTGAAGAACCATGCAAAGATAAACTGAATCCAGAGTCAAAGTCGTTGATTCCAGTACATCCCAGGGTCTTCACATCCACAGAAGGAAAGTTTTGGATTTTGTACAATAAATGGCCGTTTTATGATCATTCCGGAAAACTGATCAAGGCTGGCCAACTTTGGGACAATGTCAATATTCTGAGACCCATAAAAGTGAGAGTATGCCCTTTCTTTTCTTTCCCCCATGAAATAATTTATTTCTTATAAAAATATAATCATTGCTTTCTCAAATGCACTATTGTAATAGCTTTGTTACTTTCCAATAGTACAGTAAAATTAGTGACCACAGAGAGCAAGTTCAAATTGCATTTCTGTTAGAGTCTAGAAAATAAAAGTCCATCATAGCTTAATGGAAAGAGAATGGGACAGGGAGTCAGGAAATCTGTTTCTATTCCTGTCTTTGTAACTACACAGTATAGTGGATATGAACCTGGCTTTAAAGCTAGGTAGATCTGGGTCCAAATTTTGACTTACCAATTACTAGCTATGTTGTCTTGGGAAAGTCACTTATTTTTTCTGAGCCTCAGTTTCCTAATATGTGAAATAGAGATAATAACGCCTACATTGTACAGTTATTCTAAGGTTTAGAGGTAATTTGTGTGAGTGTGTGTGTGATGCTTAGAACAATACCAAGTATATGGGATAAACTTTATAGTTAACGATAGCTAGTTAGTCTTCCATTTTTATGTCATTATAATTATATGGTTGTACCAGATAATTTCTAAGATTCCAAGAAAAGTCAACATCTCTTCAATGTATATTTCATCAATGGATTTAAGTTTACTCAGCCTAGAATAACTCCCCCAACACATTGTGAAGCGAAATTAAAACATAAAGGTACATATTCCCTTTTTCATTTTGTAATTGTACTCTAAACCACAATGCCTAGAACAAATCAAATCATTAGCCATTTAGAACTTACCAAAATTATTGCTAGACTTCAATTATCATTGACTTCTTATCTTTATCATTCAAAGCCTCTTCTAAATATTAACATACCAATACTAATCTTGTATCTTTCGTCTGTCCTATCAGGCCATATGAAATGTGTCCCAACCATTCAATCTGTTATTGATGGTAGAAAAGTTTAATGCCCTACAATAGAATTGGTGACTGTGTAATACGCTCTAGTGACCCCAAATCCAGTCTAAATGGAGAGTATTCCCAGGAGTGGAAATGATGCTAGGGTGGAACAGCAGAACCAGGCGATGATTGCCTCTCTAAGGAATCTCTGCTATGAGGAAACATTGCAGGAGTTGGTTTCCTTCTTACCGGAACAGAGCTTCTCACAGACATACAGAACCTTCTGAAATGATGAATAAAAGGTTTGAAACTGATGTTTTTCAGGAGGAGAAGGTAGCCAAAGGAAGATTCAGCGAGCACCCCCAAAATTGAAAGTACCTGTCAGCTAGCTCATGTCATCTGGGCCTTTTCTCCATTTTATTTTAGGAATGTTGTAAATGCAGAGGTGATTCATCACATTCTCTGTTAATCACTCCTTATTCCTGAAAATCACCATGGACGTTAAATTTACCTGGATGAGATCGAAGTCTTGGAGAACTTGGGTTTGGGTTAGAGTTAGGTTACCAGAGTATTTTTCTCAAACTCAAAATTCCATCTTGTGTTTTCAACTCTTTCAATGATTCATCAAACATGTAGAACTCTCTTTCCTCCTATTAGAAAGGAGTAGGGTTAGATAATAAAAACTATAAACTTTACATTCCTACACATTTACCAAGTTGTCCAGAATCTGAACTCTCATGAAGGATATTGACTCAGAGGGAAAAAATGAGAAAATTATAAAGTAAAGATTTCTGTAGATCAGTGATGTCACTGAAGACAAAGATCATTTCCAAAATCCAAAGTTATCAATCATTCTTCAGGGCTTCTCTTTTTCTATACAGAGAGAGTTCCTTGCTGATGATAATAGTTAATAAATAACCATAGTCCCTTATGATTAAATCACCTTCCACAGCTTTCAAAACAATCTGCCATTCATTAGTTTTCTTGATTTGTTTATGCAATGTTGTGACGTAGCAAAGTAGGTGCTACTATCTTTTCCTTACCTGCCAAAAATGGTACCATTAAAGAACCCTAGAATAGGAACCAGTTTGGATGGTCATCCCGGACTTAACACTCTCTCACCTTCTATAGCCTTCATTTCTCTGAGACCCTGTGGCTACCTCACAGACCTTCACACAGTTCAAAGAGAATCCAGACATTATAGTGCTTTAGACTGGGTGCAGTATTCTAGTGCTAATGTATTTCTTTTCTCTGATCTCTAACACACACACATAACCTATACACCCATAATCACTCTGGCAAAAAGAGGTATGTCATGACTATGATTGAAAAGTACATATTCTAATAGATCTTAGAAGATGAAATAATTTCTTTTTTCATTTTCTTAACTATTGATCTCCTTTCCTGTAGTTCTAATAATTTCCCCCATCAATTCAACATGTCTGTATTCTCCTTTGTGAAAAACACTAAGCAGAAAACAGCCTTTACTCATCTTCTTATCTGCAAGTGATCCATTACCAACTAACTTCACTCCCTCTGTGGGAATTCCTTTCTGTTTGTCTGGAAAGACTAAGAAACTACAGAGATAAGCATCTCATTTTATCTAAGAATAGAATGGGATGGGCAGTTTTTATTTACTGATTATATAGACCCTGCTATTTATAGATATAATTGCATAATTGTTGCTTTTATTAGATTAGGGTTAAGAAAACAGGAAAACCTCAATGTCTGATTTTTTGTTTTGTTTTGGTTTTAAAGACTGGGTCTGGCTCTGTGGCCCAGGCTGGAGTGCAGTGATGCAATCATAGCTTACTGCAGCCTCTACCTCTAACTCCTGGGCTCAAGTAACCCCCCGACATCAGCCTCCCAAGTAGCTGGAGCTACAGGCACATGCCACCATGCCCGGCTCAATGGCTAATTTTTAGCTGTGTTAATTTTTATATATGAGGTTTTTTTAGAGAAGGGGGGCCTTTGCCTGTTGCCCAGGCTAGTCTGGAATTCCTGGCCTCAAGTAATCCTCCCGTCTCAGCCTCCAGAGTCTCTAGGATTACAGATGTGAACCACCATGACCATCTCAATGTCTAATTTTTAGCTGTGTTAAGTTCTATATATGGGGTTATATTTAGCTTTTAAAAACAACATTCAGCTTCTCCCTACAGTAGGTGTTATTTGAACCCCTAATCCATGACCCCACACTCTCTGTCACCTCAAAATTTAGTACAGTCTAAAATCTCCTAGGATTTATCCTGGCAATAGAAAACAGAGGTTTGTGGAGCTACAGTCCTTCAAAAAATCATTTGAATTAATTCTGAAGTAGTTAAGACTATACTAAATTTTGGGAAAAGAGCAATGCATATTTTATATGTGTAATATATGTGTGTGTCTGTGTACAGTAAGCAATAATAAAACTGTTAATTTATAATTAAAATTAGGAAAAGAGAATCTCTATCTTTATAAAAGAATTTGTAAATAAATATACAATTTGCTAGCATTTATTATACACTTAGGTACAACAATTAAATATAAAGGTCAAGTATCACTTTATTCTTCTTTTACAGGTAAAGAAATTGAAATTCGGTGAGATTCTATTACTTTCCATACAGCTTGTAAGCAGTGATCTTTGCGAATGATAACAATCAACGCAATAAAAGCAAACAGAGCCCGAGCTTGTAAACACTGCACATGCAACAACCACGTTACCTATATCTGTAACTGACTTATCTCAGGCACTCACTGTTACGGGCTGCATTGCATCCCCTCAA